GTATCAATTCAGTTTTCACAAGCTCTTCTTATGTGGCCTTGTTAACTGCTAGAAGCCATAAAAACGAAGAAGTAATTTCTCTCTATGGCCAAGCCAGGATGTGAAAGAAATACACTCTAAGGTTATCCTGACACAACTGGGGTTTTCTGTATGAAGTGGGCCCAAGAAATATTTCTTCATGATGTAATAAAGAGAATTGTTTTGAAAGAGTCTTAGAGCAGGTCTTATCTGAAATTTCTCAGACAACTTAAAGTGTTTTTTCTTTTTTGTTTTAACAAGCTGTTTCTGGGAAATGAGGTCCTGGTATAAAACGGTTATTGAAAAATTCCTGAGATATCAAATCAAAACTGTTTAAACATCAACCAGTGATGTTTTCTGATCCCACCTAAAGGATATGTGACTAGGATGGAAAACCTAATTAGTTTCTTAAATCAATCTCTGTAAGCCTCTGTATGCAATTATTCAATTGAAGCCCATCCCCCACCACTAACCCATCCTCCTGTAACTCCAACCATATAGTATCAAATGACTGCTTTCTTTCTTCCTTGGACTGTGTTTGCCTGTTAGAAATTCTTTAGTTGGAATCATCAGTTGCCACTTACGCGGGCTAGCTTCTCATGCATTTCAATGCGTTTTCCTTTTTCCCTGAAGAAATCAAACTCAAAGTTTAATCTTAATCACATTTTAAGGACTGAGTGGATTTTTCACTATAACAAATTGCAAGTGTGGATGCTACAGACTGGTGGACTGGTCTCCTAGAGAAAGTTTACATTCCCAGTCTGCAAGGTGCACAACCCAGTTCTGCAGAGGATCAGGCTTGGGCAGGTCATTCTATACCTCCTAAATTCATTTTCTTTTTACACCACTGTGAAACAACACGGACACTCAAATGTGTTTTATATAAAATAACATACTGGGGATAACCAATATATGCTACAAACTGTGTTAAAACGTGTGTGCAGCTCTTGAATAGGCTCCTTCATCTGCTTAACTGAAGCTATCCTGAAAGAAGTGGTTTTAAAAATTAGTGTTACCATTTATAAATATTAAAATGTGTGATTCAGAAGTTTTCTCAAAACTAATTCAGACATAAATTAGATGCCAAGGTTGATATATGACTACTAGCGCTATACACATTACTAAAATCAAATATTTGTGTTCTTCTCACTGATCGACTTGGTAAGAAAATGTTATGAATGCAAACTTGTGAACAAATCTATGCACAAAATGCTACTTTACACATCCTACATATTAGGATCTATATGTAACTTAAAGGAGCCCTGGTGGCTCAGTAGTTAAGTGCTTGGCTGCTAACTGAAAGGTCATTGGTCCAAACTCACTAACCATTCCATGGGAGATGTACCAGTCTGCTTCTGTAACACTATGGGACATTTCTACTCTACTCTGTCCTACAGGGCTGCTGTAAGTTGGAACTCACTCAACGGCAACAAGTTGGAGAAAATTTACTTTGAGAAATAATACTGCAAACTAATGGTTTAGGTAACAGCACTACTGATTATTATTGTTGTTGTTTATATCCCAATTGTCAATTCTTCCTTTAGCAAACGCTCTCCACCTCCACTGGAAAGCAGTTTGTCCTGAGCAACTGTCCATCTGTAGCCAGCTATGGTTACTGCACAGCAGTCTTGCAAAGCTCTTGATTTGGAAGAAGCTTCTCCCTCAAAAGCATTAATTTAGGATCTTCCTTTGGGGGGAAAAAAAAAAAAAGCACAGTGCTAGGTTTTGTGACATTCATAATGAAAAGGAAATGATTTCTCTCATCACAAATTATGACATAATAGAATAAATGAAAGGCCAAGGACACAGGATTAGAAAATAAAAAATGAAATGCCACTGAACTTGACATGTAACATTTTTTATTTTGTGATAGAAATGCTTTCATATAAATTTGTTCTTAACTACTTTTAGAATGAAACTTTGAAAAGTAAAAACGAAGTGTGCATTTTCCTTACTACATAGTTAGGAATATGCAGTCATTTTATTGGTTATTGGGTTTCTCATACAAACAGATATAATATCACTTTTAAGAGAAATATACACAAGAAGGAGCCATAGTACCAAACAGTTATTAGTGGGGGCCTCTGGGTATACAAACGTGTCCTTCCAAATAGTCATACATTCAATGTACCGGTTAAGGCCAAAATCCCCAAACCACCCGCCAAGAAGACATTACACCTTTGGTTGTTTTCTATGTGAGAATTACAAACTAGCAAATTTAATAATAAGAATACATAATGGACTTGAGCATCATAGCGGCTTACTTTAAAATCTTTCTTAGTCTCTCTTTCCCTCAAACCTCTCTGTATCAGGAAATGATACTTAAAACAGAAGAAACAAATGAAAAAAACCTATCCCCCAGGGCAGGCAGGCAGAAGGAGAGTCAATGGAAGAACTTAAAAAACAAATAAAAAAAGGGGATGAGGGAATCTATACATGGCATCAAAGATGTAGCCTAGAAAAACTTAAGTCTTAAATTCAGAACCCAACTGAGAAAGTGACTCTCCATCTTACCTTCCCTTTTATTAAATACTATACAACTCAGGGGTCCTTAACATTTGATAAAATGCTTAAAAGGCAGTGTCCTCTTCCTTATCACTGCAGCCTGTTGCGGAAATGGAAGCTCTCACGCTCCCTTCTTCAAACCCAAAGGATTGAAAGTAAAGCATCCCAAGGAGAAACAAGCAAGTTAGCCCGACATTGTGCCCTGGGATGGAGGTGGCCAGAAAAGATCAAAGCCCGTGGATCCAAGGCTGATACTTGTGGGAAGTGGGGCTGGAGAAGGAGTGCAGAGAGGAGCAGATGTGGTGCGGTCCCATGCAGATAAATCCTCCCTAACCAGGAATTGACAAATGGGTCCACGGTGGAGAACCACCATTTAGAATAAAACATTCCCACACTTTGAAAGAGGCTAGTAGACAGAGTGCTGCTGTAAGAGACTATAGAATGAACAACATATATATAGTTGATATATATATATATATGTATATATCAATATATATATAGAACAATATATAGTCCTGCCTTATATAAGGCAGGACTAGTCACTATTTTTGTTGGTTCAACTTGTGCAGGATTGAAAAACCAATTGCAGGCTGTCATGCCAACAAACACAGGGTTTCCACATGGGCCCATAGTCAGATAAATCAGGTACTTGGTAAGTCCTGACAACTACTTTCTGCCCTGGCAGGAATGAGGACTACCACTGAAAGTAAAACGGAGTAGGCAATGAATATATCAACAGCTACAAAATGGTATGGCAGAATTAATTTCCCAGGGTTACAGAACACTGGGTGGAAGTGATAGTATGGCATGGGATCAATTTTCAGTTGACCCAGGGAGAATAAGAAAAATATTGTCATCCTATTTCTACAGTTGTCTAGAATGTTTCTATCCTTTACAGAAAGGGAGTGGACTGAGGTGTGGTGCAGGCATTCTGAACATATGGAGGACAATGACACAAGAGTTTGGAAACATCAACCTGAATGTGACTTAAGAAAGGAAAGCATCCTTGGTAAGTCGGTATACACTAGTCTCCAAAAAAGGGAATGTCATGAGGACAGGAAAGGAAAAGAAATGGCAGCAATACACAGCAAAAGCTACCTCGCAGTTCCTCCCCTTTCCCACCTTCCAGTCAAAGGGCTGGTCTAGACTCTAGAAAATTAGGCCAACGTTCCAATTCCTAACTGAATACAGAAAATATTTTTTCCTTGAGAACATATCAGCTGCAGCAGTGACTCAGAGCACTTCAAGTGTGGAGGGAAGGTTGGTAAATGGGCCTGCAACCAGAAAAGGAATCATGAAGTAGAGACTGATCACCTGACAAGAGGAAGAGGACTGAAACTGCATGGCTGGAACTAGCTTCATCTAATGGTAGAATGAGCGAAGCAGGGCTGAGGGTTGGATGACCTGGGGGAAAATGAGTTTCATGCTGGCAGTCCACGGAAAGCTTGGCAGGGAAGAAGAGACCTGCTGGGTGGTAACCACTTTTTGTCTGAGTTAGTTTATGTCCTGATCATTCCAAAACTTCTTCTGGCTCAAAAAAAAAAAAAAAAAAAAAGGTTATAGTACCTAGGCTGCCAAGGGTAAAACTTCATACTGACTGACCTGCAAATGGAAAATCAGCAGATACTTATCCTTCTTCCTGGTGAGGTTTATTTGTGGCTCCACATGCAGGCAAGAGAATTAAGGTGGCAGTCTTGTGAAGGGACCTCCTACCTCCCAAACTTGCCCAATAGAAAATGTTTTGCTCCCCTTTGCCCTCTAGGAATGATATATGTAGGAGAATGCAGTGTGTCCATTTCCTAAAGAAACATACTTAGAAGACTGTGCACAACCAAAATAAACCCTGTGAGAGTCCTATGGACACTGGGAAATAGGAGGGAAAAGGAGGCTGCAGTTGCTTTCCCGGGAAGGAATGATTAAAGCACAAAGGTCTTGCCCTGTAACATACTGGTGGGGCTACAACCACGGAGAGGTGCAACAAGTAAAGCACCAAATGAAGTCAAAAGAATGTCCAAGATGAAAAGATGAGAAAGGTCAACTCAGCAGAATTCCAGGGCAAACTCCCAATAGGACTCTACTGTGGAAATTTCTCGCAGATATGGCAAAAGCCCTCAGGGCTTAAAATACAGTCTAAGCTGTAAGAAAGTCTGGGCTACAATAGGCATCCATCTTATTCTCCAAAAGGAAGAGAGTAAACATGATCCCAGGGCTTGTCTTCATCTTGCATTTCCATGAACTTGACTTGATGGGCAAAAGATCAGAGGGAGCCATGTCCCCAAACAAAAACCCTGCAGATACATAGAGAAGCTGATAAAACTGCTCCTTTGCATTATCTAAAAGATAACAGTATCTCCTGTCTCCTGCCTCCAGGAGCTGGTTGCAGAGATTTCTTCATTTCTCTCCCGGATGACCTTCATTTTGTTTCTCAGCAGCATTTACAATAGGCAGTTCTCTCCTTACACTGGAGGCAGACTCTTTCACGCATAGACCTGCATGTTGCTGCGTGGTGGCTCAGACATGTGTGTCCCAGGTCCCCGCTGACCTCCTCCAGCTCCCCCAGGAGTAGGGCTGGTAGTCACATCTGACCAGTCAGAAGCAGAGTGGGGTGACGAACTTGACCACTGGTCAGGAGACTCTGGGGATGGTGTCAGGTAAGGATGCTCACCTTGGAGGTGACCACTGTGGCTGGGTGTCAGCTCAGCAGCATTCGAGGAGGCATAACTGTGCTGTGAAGGGGGGGTGGGATACTTGCCCACAGAGGCTGGGAAAGGATGATAGGCTGGGAGAATGGTCTGAGCTACCTGCCCATCCTGCTGGGACATCATGGCAGTGGGAAAAGCCACATTTGGCAAACGGGCCATTTCTGGAATCTGGTACATAGTAGGCAGGGGGCCTGCAACAGCTGGAGGGCAGTTAGGCTGCGGCTGAGGAGCCCCAGCTGGCTGGGCAATACTGCCTTTGGGGATTAGCTGGAAAGTCACAATGGGGGGCAATGGCTCCCGAGGGGTAGTTATGTGCTTCCCATCAGGTGGCCTGCTCTGGGGAGCTATGCCAGGGTGTGTGCCCTCAGCTGGAGTGAGGACCATACCAAACATCTCATTGTACTGGGTTTCATTCATCTCCATGCGGTTCATCCAGTCTGCTGGGACAGTGACTGGATGCAGCCTACCCAAGCTCCCAGCACTGCCACTGCCTGGAGGGACAATGTGGTGGTGGGACAGTAACTGGCTCACTGAGGGAAGCACAGTGCTGGCCCCATGAGCCAAAGGCTGTATTTCATGAAGGTTAGAGAAAGACAATGCATGCTGTGAGTGGGCTGGGGCAGGTGGGGCAGCAGTGGCCAACAGAGGGTTGGGTGGTGAGGCCTGCAAAATTCCAGGGGATGTAATCATTGGAGAAGATGTGGTGTCAGAAACATATGTGTGAGGAGACTCCAGGGAATCAACGGGGGATAAAGTCACTGAGCTCTCAGACAGTTGGCCTTTGTCGCTCAGAGACTTCTTCCTCCTATTACCCTTGGGATCCTTGGCCTCCTTGGCCAGGTGAGGGAGGCTAGCAGGCATGGCACTCTTGGCATTGGGCCGTCTAGGCTTCTTGCCCATAGGGGTGTGCTTCAGGCTGAGGAAAGACCTGTTGGGTCCACAAATGACAGGTGAGAGAGCAGAAGTCAGCACAGTGCCTGGAGGGCTTGGTGTCACGTTGTACTCATCCAGGAGGCGCACGATGTCATGATGCATACGGTCCCGAGCCACATCCCGGGGGAGGCGATCCATGTGGTCTGTGATGTCCCGGTTGGCAAAGTGGTCTAACAGGATCTTAGCTGCCTCATAGCTCCCTTCCCGGGCAGCAAGAAACAGAGGTGTCTCTTCCTATAGAAAAACCCAAACAGAACACATTTTAATAAAACTCTTGAGAATAGAGCAAGGAGCTCTGGTGGTGTAGTGCCTAAAGCATTTGACTGCTAACCAGAAGGTTGGCAGTTCAAACCTTCCAGCCACTCTGTGGAAGGAAGACTGAGCAATCTACCTCTGTAAAGATTTACCACCTCAGAAACCCAAAGGAGGTCGTTATGAATTGGAATCAACTTGATGGCAGTGAGTTTAGTTTTTTTGGTTTTGAGAACGTAGCAGTGTTTCTCAACCTTTGCTTTTTTGCCATCACCCCCAGAAGTAGCCTTTTTAGACATTTTTTGCTAATGGCCTCATGTCTTGTGAAATTTTAATACCACAGATTATATATGTGTAACTATTACATATTTATACTTTACACATTAGAAGAGTAAGATTCTTTTCATCCCCTAAGAACCGATTTTGCCTGTTTGAGGGTGCTACCACTCTTGGTTGAGAATACATGAAATGAAGTGTGCCTCTGAGCCAGAGATCCACTTAAAAGAGCACCAAGCTCACCATAAGAGACTTCTAAGAAGGAAAAGAGTTAGAGATAAGGAAGGTGGGAGGAGAAGAAACTATGGTAAGTACGGAACATGACTCATAGTGACCCCTTCTTGGGTTTCTGAGGCAGTATCACTACAGAAGTGGACTGCCCAATCTTCCTTCCGAGGAGTGGCTGGGTTTGAACCATCAGCCTTCTGGTAAGCAGTCAAGTGCTTTAGGCACTATGCTACCAGAGCTTTTAGTACGGAACTGGGAAAAATAAAGGAAAGTAATAGGAAAGAAGAAATAAAGTACTTGTAAGAGAGAGGACTAAAGCAAGATGAGGGGAAAGAGGAGGTTAATGAAAGAAGATGAACAAGAGAGGGAGGATATGAATAAACAAAAGGCAGGAAGCCCACACCAAAGTTATTTACAGGGCTGCCTGATTCAAAATGAGCACTGAGATGTCAGAGGGCTCAATCCTCACTCCCTAGGATAATCCCAGCATCCTTCATCAAGCTATCTAGGCCCAATTCCCACCCAACCTGATTCCATCTTTGTCTATACTCATCACAAGAGAAGCGATACATTTAAAAGGGAAGGGGCCTCATAGTCTGAGGCTGTCATGTGCATGCTTAAGCTCTGAGCCCACACTATACCTTGTTGTCTTGCATGTCTCTGTTGGCTCCATTTTTCAACAGCAAAAGGGTCGCCTCCACATTATTAACAGCAGCTGCCCAGTGAAGAGCAGATTTTCCTGCAGGGGAAAAACATCTTAACAGGCAGGCAAAGAGTAGAGGGAATGTCCTACTCTCAGTATAAGGAAACACCATAACTTGTACACAGGAATCTTGAACTTCAGTACAGGCTGCCCAGCCTTCAGAAGACCTCCAAGTAAAAGGATCAATTATCTGTGGTACTTCCTCTCCGTGGCAGAATACACCAAGTCACAGAATGAGGACAATAACCCCTTTATCATATGCCAGAATATATATTTAGGATATCCTACAACCCTCCTGGTGAAGCCAACTCTCATTAATTCCCCACATCAAAAGTTGTATGCCCGGGAACCCACACAGGCAGACCTTTCATGGACCTGCTTTGAGGTCCAAGCACTCTCACTAAATATTCCTTCTTATTTTCATCTAGGGAGCTCCTACTGGCTCTGTTCTTTGAGCTCAATAACTATATATTGAAAGAAAGAACAAAAGAATGGATGGATGAATGAGTTTCCTTAGGATCTGAATCTAAGACACTTCTTTAAGGATAACATAACAATTCTCTCTTCTAAAGGCATGCTTTGCAGGTAAGAACCCAAACCCCTGCCTCTCAAACCCAGACCCTACCATGGTCATCCACTGCATTCACATCTGCTTGGCAGTTGATCAGCTCTGCTACCATTCCCTCCACAGCCAGGCGGGCAGCCAGGATCAGGGGTGTAGTCCCATCATTCATTCGGGCATCTAGATCAGTTGCTCGGTTGCGGATCAGAATCTGGAAGAGGAGAAAAGAGAGTCACCTGGATGAAAGAAAATATAAAACTAAAAGAAACAAAAGCATAAGAAGTGAGGTGACACTCTAAGTTACTGGAGGCCAGGGGATGTTTTGTTATTTTTGTGTCCCAAGGTTTTATCATAGCTTAATAAGTATTTGTTGAGTGAATGAATGAATGAATGCTCAAGGACAATGGCCCATGCACTTCTACTGTATAAAGAAAGAAGAGGGATGTGGGAAAATATCAAACCCTCAATCATAGTGTATAGTCTAAGGTGATGCAGAATGCTTCCAGTTTGTGGGTATTCTAGGAGTATACTGTGAACTCATGTCAAGAACACAGCCAAAGAACAGATGGTTCAGAATACATACTGCTCCTCTCTGATCTACTCATTTGGAAGGCAGCTTGGCATAGCACAAGGAACGGTACTTCAGAATGAGGAGACTGGTGGTATGTGCTTTTGGCTCTCGCTACCTGGCTGTATATTCTTAGGTCAGTTTACCTGCCTTCTTCATCCTGCTTTCTTGTCTGGCAAGTATGACTCTAACACCTATGCTAACTTTTTCAAAGGATTAACAAATGAATTTCACGATAGATTAAAATGCCTTGACAAAGATGAAAGATCAATCCCTAAAGAATTTTTATTACTCAAGCTGGCCCATTTCATATTCTTTACCTGGAAGACACCCTGGGCATCAGCTGCCACTGCAGCATGGAGAGGGCAGCGGCCCATGTTGTCCTGAGCATTGGCATCTGCACCTGCATCCAGGAGATGCTTGGCAGCATCTGCTCTCGAGTAGCGGGCAGCAAGGTGCAGGGCCATCTCGCCTGTGCGGTCTGTCTGGGCCTGGAGGCTGGCACCCTGGCAGACCAAGTCTGTGATGATGTTGGCAGAAGAATCCTCTGCATCTTCATCTTCATCACTCATGTCTGAGCTGCCTCCTCGGAGAGATGCCAGCATCAGTGGGGTGCAGCCATCTGCAGGGAAGGAAAATTCAGAAGAATATTCAAGGAAGAGAAGGAAGTTAATATTCAATGGACCCTATTGCTGGCATAGTCCCTATTTGACTAAAGTTAATCCTATTAAGCGGGGGATGTGAAATTCCATGTTCTTCTTTTATATTTTTTTTTGCCACCTACTTTTCCTCTGATAATAGCTTTCTAAAGGAGTCTTGCTGGCACAGTGGTTAAAGTGCTCAGCTGTTATTGATGGGTTGGAGTTTCAAACATGCCAACTGCTCTGTGGGAGAAAGATGTGGCATGCTTCCATGAAGATTTACAGCCTTGACCAGACTTCTGGTAAGATGGACGAATAGGCAGACAAGTGACATAGACCTTCCTCAACAAAGAAAATACCAATTGACAGATACAGAAGATAATCCTGGAACCCTGAGCTTTGAAAGGAATGATACAGAAGTAGATTAGGTCTAAATGGAGAGTGTATCCAAGATCATATACAGGGTTGGCAGAAAATGGGCCTCTCGAAGAGTATGAAGGGATGGACACTGGGAGGAGGTAACTATGGGGAGGAAGTGGGAGGGGAGCTGCTGCATTGTAAATTTTGGTCAATGACATGAGACAAAGTATATGTGAACTGCTGTATGAAAAGTGAATTTACTCTGTAAATCTTCACCCAAATCCTAATAAAAAAAAAAAAAAAAAAAAAAAAGAATGGAAAAAAAAAAAGAAGTAGATTAGGCATCAACTAGTGGAAAAATCTGAACAAAAACAGTGAGTACAGAGACGGTCGGAACGGCGGACCATCAGCTACTCTGATGGGACCAAGAGCCTGAACATTTCCAAGTGGTGTTGGGACCTGAAAATTGTCCTAAAGATCAGCCCTGGTCACCAAGGGCTGCAGGGATGACTGTGCTGGTGGCCTATGACTACAAAGGGAAATAGCAAAGAGGGAGACAACCTGAGCTGTTGACTTTCTGCTGTCTGGAGGGCACAGCCATTTTGATTATTTACACACAGCAGACATTTTGCATATTTAAAGTGACCGAGGGCACAGCCATTTTGAATGTTTACAAGCAGTGGTCATTTTGGATATTTAAAGTGACTGAGGGTGCAGCCATTTTGAATCTTTACAAGTGGCAACCATTTTGGATGTTAAAGTGATAGCATTCTTCTCATTTGGATTCCAGGGACCTAAGAATAGCCTCTGTTTGCCAAGGTCAGAAGGGACATATGAGAGGCTGAAATAGGAAAGGAGACAGGTGGTGAGTGCATAAGTGCTGTCAACTAGCGAATAGAGGAGCACAGTACCCTGCTTGTGTAGATAACATAAAAACAAAACAAAGAAAATGAAAATTGTGGGCAAGTCACTCCAACACATAATCACCAATTAAATATAAACACAAATGTCACAATGCCTCAGAGACAACAGAGCATCACAGTCCACACAAAGAAGGAAGACAAAGCAGGAGAAACAAGGGACAAAGATACAGACCCAAAACACACCCATGAGGAAGATGCAGAATTGGAACTCCCTGATAAGGAATTCAAAAGAATTATATTTAGGTATCTTCAATGAAGTGAGAGACCGATCAAGGAAAACACAGAGAAAATCCTAGAACAATTTAGAAAGACAATACAAGAACAAAATGACAAAATAAATGAAAAATTAGAAATGATACAAAATCTACAGACAGAAATCCAGAAGATTAATACTATATTTTCAGAAATAGATAAGACATTGAATGGTCAAAGGAGCAGAATTGAATCAATGGAAGACAGAATTAGGGAGATTGAAGGTAAATACCTGAACACTTCTTTGGAAAGGGATAAATCAGAAAAAAGATCAAAACAAAATGAAGAAAGCCTAAGGT